GAGGTTGTGAAAAACCTTTAACAAAAATACGATGAAACATAAAACATGAAAGATAAACACAAGTATTATGTGTATATGGAATTCTCTATTTCGTCTACAATAATAATTTGCGTTTTTGTAATTATATTCAATTACTCACTTCGTTTCCCAAATCGCAAGAAACAAAAATCCTTTTCTTCGTCGTTGTCCATAGTATCTCGTCTTTTCATACCTCGTCTGCTTCTAATTGTACCAATTTCCGTGATTAAACTGAATTTCTTTATCTCTCTAAGATCTAAAATTATCCCCCTAAATAAAAAAGATATTCAGTAATGCAAAAATAAATCTAAAAACGACTTAGTTTAATCTTTACCCAATGACTTCCATAATGCTTCTTCTTACTGCAGTTCCCGCGTAAAACTGTCATTTCATGGCGGCATAAATCGATTAGAAGAAATTATATATCGATAATAATCGATATAGCGATATGTAATGTAATACAACGTATCATAGTCGTGTGCCTATTTCTGTGCCTCGCCTGGGTTTTGGCGCTGTAATCTTCATTGAGCCTGAATCGGCAACGTCGCATTTGACAGGAAAGTCACGAAATTGTCTCTTATTTGTCGATGTTGCAACCGTGGAATATGAAGAAGTATTACATCTGTTATTGCATCTCAGGTCTATCGTATATCTATATCTCGTCCGTATTCTAAATCAAATCACAACTTGTTTATACTTATATATATATATATATATTATATATTATTATATTATTATATTATATATATTATATATATATATATATAATACTTATATATTGACGTATGTCAATATAAAAAAAAATGAAATATCAAAAATATATCAAAAATGTATAATTCTACGTTTTAATATAAAAGATAAAAAAATACAAAAGTAATAAAAGTATATGGAGTGCCCATAAATAATCGAAAAATGAAATATAATGTTACTAAAATCCACATAACATCTTTGAATTCGTGTAATTTTCAAATTCATTTCATTTCATTTCGATTTAATATTATTGGAAACATATTCGAAACTATTGATACATGACCATCTGTATGTAATTTTAGGTCAATGTCACTATACACATTGACTAAGTATCTTGTCGGTGGTATGCATTATGTAGCATTCTTTTTAGCTACATCAGGTAATAAAGGAACGGGAACATAATTTTACAGTTTCACTAGACAAATTTCGGACAACGCAACGCTACATACTGAAAGGTGATCATTTTGTAAACGCAACACTAACGAGAAGATGTAATTACATTAATCGCGACAGGAAAATATTGCAACATTAGTTCTTAAGTTGAATTCAATAAAGATAATTATCGTTATATTTATAAAAAGCTACTTTTAATATTCGTGACAGCAAGCATCAGATCGCAGCATCACAAATTTTATTAAAAATCAACGTCTTTAATTAAACATTGAATAGAAGGAGACACAACAAATTCTAATAATATTTTTTAGATTATAATACAAAATTCGAACAAAAACAATCACGATGAATCTCATAAATCGCAACACTAATCCAAACCGAAATCAGTGCTTTTTCATAACTCTAATTAAAACAGAAATTAATTCCGAGCGCGGTATTTCGATCACTTCCCAATTATAACTTAAACCGCAATTAATCACTCGCATAACTAATAAAACAACCACGATTTGCCCAGTGGGATAGTGAGCCGGGATGTTTATAGGCCAAGATACAAACTACTACTACTACTACTACTACTACAACTACTACTAGTACTAGTAATAAAACAACCACGATTTGCCCAGTGGGATAGTGAGCCGGGATGTTCATAGGCCGAGATACAAACTACTACTACTACTACTACTACTACTACTACTA